CCTGGTCGATCTCCGTCTCGTCTCCGCTTCCTCCATCCAAGCGGGAAGCGCAACGAGCGCGATCGCCGAGCGCGATCCCGATCGAGAATCGAGATAATCGACCGTTCACACGGAACGCTCCGGCAACGTCCTTGGCGGAATTATTTCAAAAGCGTGGAAAGTACCGCGATCGCAAGCCGCAAAGGAGAACCGGAAACCGTTCGCCGATGAAGGAGCAAAGGGCGCACGACTCATTCATATTACCACGTCATTCCATTTTTCCCCAATATTTCTAACATATGGAGTGTCGCGAGGTTTATATCTTTCCTCCACTCTTTTTCTCCCTTTCCATTCATCGCCGATGACCGGAGCTGAGCTTGATCTTCTCTCAGGCACCGCGATCGCCCTAATCGGTACTCCGATTGTGCGCGTTATCGGAGCTTGCAAGATTGGAATAAATATCGATCGGATATCGATCGCTCCGGGGGGTCGTTCGCCCCCGGCGGATAAACCGCGTCGCGGAAAAAATAGCGAGACAGGCGATTCCGAATCGCGCTCTCTCTCTCTCCGTCTCGCACCTTACGCATCACCGTGTAATTTACGGCACGCGTCTGGCTACACGCGGACACTTTCACTTTACGTAACTTTATTCACGGCGGCTAAGGGCGACGAACTTTGACTGCCTCGCGCCGAAATCCTTCCCAGGCGTCCGGGAGAATCCCGACGTTGAATCCTCTCGCGTCTCTTTAAAATAAAGTTTCGCAGAAGGCTTTCCCGAGTCTCTCGACGATCTAAGAACGGCGTAAATTCTGAAAGCTTGAGAAAAGAAGAGAGAAAAGAACTAAAACAAATCGATAGCGCGCTCGAGGTCATAAGAATTCCAAAAATTCGATAATTTCAGACTTGCAAAAAGTTCACGGGAGTCCGAAACGACCCTGACGGAAACGAAGTGCGAGATAAAGAGAGAGAGAAAGAGAGAGACAGCTGTCATCGAGAAAGATCGCGGCGAGAGAGAAAAAGGGAGTCGTAGATAAGATGCGCGTAAACAGACGCAATCGACAATCAAGAAGAAGAGAGAAAGAAAACGGCGTGTGTGTGCGTGCGCACGCGCGAGAGAGAGAAAAAAGAAACGGACGACGCTAGGCGCCGATAAACGAGGACGCAGAGAGGGGGAGGCGTGTACTCCGCGCTCCGGAATTCTAGCCGGAGTGCGGCGGCGCGGCGGATATCTACCTGTCAGCGTGCATTCCACGATCCCACGATCCGCGTGCCGTCGCGTCGGCTCGGTACGGCGCGTGCACGTTTCCGCACACGCCGTGTGCGCGAATCCCCGTGTCCGTCGGCTCACACACTTGCTCGCACAGTGCTCGCGCTCGCGCGCACGCCGCGCGTTCACCGCACTTCGGGAGTCTCTCGGGACGCGATCCCGCACACGCGGCGCACTTCACTCTCGTCGTCAGTCACTCCCCTTTGTCGCGCCGCGCCGTACCGTACGTCGCCGTGTCACCGCGAGGGTGACGTCGCGTACATACACCCGGTGACGTGCCGCGACGCGTGAATATGGCGCGCGCACTCGCCGTCGATCACCGCGGAGCTTCGATCGCACGCGCACCTCGAAGCGAAGCCTCGCCGAAGACGACGACGACCGCGACGGGAAAACGTGGCCGCGTGAACTCGGCCGCGAACCGTGCGAGAGGATCGTTCTCGAGCCCCCTCCCCGCGTGCTTTCTTTTCCCCTCGCCCCGGGATATTCGACAATTCGACTCGGCACTCGTCCCGTCCGCCTCGTTTCGTTTCCGTTTTTTTTGTTTTTATCTCGGCGACGCGAAACACGACGGCGAGCGTGTATTCTCGTGTGTGTACGGCGCGCGCGGCTCTCCAGAACCGGACCGGAACGAGACACGACTACTCGGCTTTAAGCACCGCGGGGTAAATACTACCACAACGAAACGCCGCCGCCTCTCTCGACCGCGTTGCGCGGCGGCCGCGCCGGCCAATCCCCACCCGAGCCGCGCCACCACGTGGTAGGCGCCGCGGCCAATCGCGCGCCGCGCTGCCGCTCAATGACGGCGTTCGCAAAGCCATCTGACGGTTGGATCGCGTCGCGTCGAGGCCCCCCACCCCCCGACTCCGAGCGAGTTCGCCCGCATCGATCGGTCGGTCCGTTCGATCGCGCTTGGAGATGAATGCTCTTCGACTCCTCGTCGCGATACGCACAGGCACGCAGCTTTTTCAAATCCGATGCTTCGAAAATATTTATGTTATAAAATTGAAGTAGAAAACTCTGATATTAGATTTCCACAAGTAGAAAAGTATCTGAGAAATTTTTTTTTTTTTAGAATTTTTCATAATTCTTAATTTTCTTTTTCTGAGAAAGTATGAAAAACTATTTTTTCATCAGGGCAATGCTTAACAACGGACAAGCATGACAAGCATTATAAGCTTCTCTCCGGTTCCAGTAAAGGAAGATAATATGAAATTTATATTACCTTCATAAGCGAGACCGTGGGCACGTCCCGACGAGGTCAATTTCAAACAAACGCGCAGCACGCTTACGCGACTAGAATCGCTAACGAGCCGCTTTCATGTCGCGCGAAGCGTATCGCGCTCCTAATGAGATTCAACGACGCACTGGTATCCCGCACTGGTATCCAGCCGTCCGAATGAATCATCGGCTCGTTACGTCATTATTTACTTAACTCTTGAAATTATACACGCTCCTGTGTGACTAAATTGTCTAAATAAACACGAGATATTTATTTTCGAGATAAATCGGTTTCTTGATGTCACCAACTTGTGTCGCACACGCCTTTTAGAGGAAGAAGACAGTACGTCGATCTTCGATCGATCGTTCACCTACGCGATATCCCGCGGCAACGACTCAAAACGTAGAAAGAACTTATAATCTTGCTTAATCCCGCGGCCATGAGTTTGTCTCGATATTCGGTGTCGGTGACCTGGAGAAAAAAAAATCAATTCCGGATCCGTCACGCATTCGTGCCGTTCACCCGAATTGCCGTGACCTTTCGAGTTGAATTTCGGGGCCGTCGGAGCTGTCGATCGTCGAGCACTCTCGGTCTCTACCCCGCCACACCTTAAGCGAATATCTGACGAACATTTAACGCAATAGACGATATTCTACGAATAATTCAAGCAACTCATAGAAATTCAGAGAAATTTATTACGACGCAGCGCATCGCGCACAATTGGTCTCGTTCGCTGTGGAATATGTCGCTTATTCGCGAATGCTCCTCCTCCTTCGTAACAGATCTTGGAACTCGCGAGTTCTTAGGCGAGCAGAAGAATCAGAAAACTTGCGCCGAGGACCATCATGGGAAATATCGCTCGATGTCCGTCGCGTCGGGCATCTTGAGAAGCAACATTTTTCACCTCGGTCTCTGAAATTTTGTTTTACAATAACGTGAGACTAGCGAAACGCTCGGTCGAGGCTCGCGTCGTTGGAAAATCGGAATAACGCTAGAGTCAGCCCTTATAAATGCGCAATGTTTCATAGCAGAATATTTTTTAAATAAATAATGAACTGTTTAAGGAATCCTAAAAAAAATATTTAAAAAATTCTTTAATTTAGTCGGTGGGCGATTGTTATACAGGATTTCCGGGTGTCTGTCATCGGTAGAGAGAAGAAAAAGAGAAGCGGCTTTCCTCTCGCCTCGACGCGTCCTCACCGTATTCATAATATTGCGACGGTTCCGTCGGCTCGTCCTCGCACTCCTCGGTGGCCGATCTGATCCTCACAGCTTCCTGTCTCTCACGTTCATCGGCCTCACTGTCGAGCGGCACGTAACCGGATCTCGCTACGCGATTCCTGACGGCGACCTAGAAAACGCGGCAAAAGTTTCGTCCTTCAATACTAACCATAATCGTAGACCTCGGTGGGTTCCTCGTTCACCGTTTCTTCCTCGTCCTGCTCCGCGGTCTCCTCGTCGGCGCCCTCGTCGTCGAGCTTGTCTTCCTCGTCGTGCTGATTTTCCTCCTCTTCCTCCTCCTCCTCTTCTTCCTCATCCTCATCTTCGTCGTTCTTCACAGCTGACGAATGATAAGGTCTGCCCTCGTCGTGCTTATTTCGAGGTCGACGGTGTCTTCGCGCGACGTTATAGTCGTGGCTGCGGTATACCTGCTTGGCCCTGCGCGGATGTTCGAGAAGACGGCGTTGCGACGGCTGCATGAAATCTCCGTAAAACACGGGCTCTATGTATGAAGCGTGTCCGTGGATGTTTTTCGTAATTACGGCCGACGCGGGCGATCTCGGAGAGTCCCAATCGACACCATCGCCGGCGGTACGAATGCCCGATAGAATTAAAAGTGTTGATAAAAGAGCGAACGTGAGCATAGCCTGAGCCTTGTCATTATCGATCATTGGCGACGCGACTGAACATAAACGCAATTAGATCAATTACACGCAATCGAATATGTATATACACAGAATCGCGAAACGATCGAAGTAGTTTTGTTACAGATCAATTTGACACGAACAAATATACCATCTCGTCTTGTAGCCATATACAAGTAACTAGGACAAAAAATTGCTCAATAATATTATATTTTATAAAATATATTTTTTAATCTATATTTTGTAATCAAAATTTAAATTCGACAATGAAACCTTCTTATAAGATGTAATAAAGATAATAATTTTCTTAATACAAAGTATGAGTATACATGTACGCGGTATGTACATTCGATGAATCTAACACTATGTGTCTATAAGTCTTTTTGTATCCATTGCTCTCGAATTTAAGCAGGATTTCTCTCCAGGAACGTTTTCGTCACAATGTCAGAGCGACACTGACTTAAATCTATATAAGTCAAGCTGGTGCAGCCAACCACAGGGCATCTATAAACGCAAACATAATAAATCCTGTAGCAGCACATCCTGATATTTGGCATCATGCGAAAAACGTACCTAGTGTTTTTGTTCTTTTCCAACATCGCGACAAGGCTTTCTCTGTCGTACACATGACCACAGACTGCATTTCTCACAGGATCGGTCATTCTGGTCTTCGAGATCGGATCAATCACATTTATTTCGCTGCCTGTCAGCCGCAGATCGGCGTCCGTGTCATCCGCTCCGTTATTCGATTCAGCTTTAGTTGCTAGAAGATTCGAAGATTGTTAATCTTAGAAAGAAGTATGTAAAAAAAAAATCTGATAAACTTTCAGTGATCAGGGATCTCCATTTCGGTTGTTACCTTGAAGCAGGCCTTCAATCTGACGATCATACTCCAGCAGCCTGTTGTCTTCCAACGGATTAACTTGGATTTCAATTATAGCCTTTTTATATTCCTATTACAAACAATAGCAAAAGCAAATTTCGAAAGTCACACTAATAACTCTTGGAGTAAAGGCGGTTGTTACTTGTGTGATGTGTTTCACGTCTTTATCCGGCTGCAGCTCAGACACACATTGCATCTGCTCGCTGATTTTATCCGCAGCCTTTATTCTTGCAAACTCCGTACAGTTCTCTATTAAGACCTCTCTTAACTCCTTCAACTCCTTCTGCATTTCCTCCTCATCATCATCTGAAACACATATTTCATTTTCTTGTGAGAAAGAGACAAAGTGTCTTAAC